GATATATAAAAAGTTTTATACAAAATATCTTGTCTATATTCTTTTTTTGCATCTATGATGCTATTTTTTTTATGAGCTATCTCGGGACGATGCAATATTAGATTTTCATACAAAAAAAAAATTGATTATGAATTATTTTATAAATATAACAATTATCTTTATTTTAGTTTTCTAAAGAATAAAGATATTTTAGTTTCTCTATCTTTATTCGGTAGCGAGAAAGGTTTTCTTTATTTTTACTTGGTAATGATAACGATTATCGCTATCTCTATAAGATAACAATAATGATTATATTTATCGTTATTTTATAAAGAATAAAGATTTTGTAATTTCTTTGTCTTTATTTAATAAATCTAAAGATTGTCTTCATCTTTATTTCATAAAGTAAATATAAAGTAATACTCCTAGTTCACATCTATTCTGCAATCTAGAATAGGAAAAGCTAGATGTTTTTATGTCATCAGATTTTATCTGATCCGACGATTTCCGATAGTCGGATTTCATTGGATCCGACAATTTCCGATAGTCGGATCTCATCGGATCCTATCGTCGGAATCCGCGAAAATCCGACGCCGAAAATCGTCGGAAATTAACGGATAAATATGGTTTTCCACAGTCGGAATCCTATCGGAAATTGTCGGATAGTGACGGATCCGATGGGGTTAGTTCGACCTGGGAACTCTATCCGGACTTCTAACTAAAAATAATTAACAAACTATATTACTGGTAAATCTTAAATAAAGTAAATTTAGATAACATTTCGTTACTCTTCCCAATTGATTTATTTCATCATTCAATAAATAAAGAAAAAGATAATTTCTAATCTTGTTTGTAATGTACTTTTTGTACAGCGTTTTTAAAAATAAACTAAATATTTCCTTTGCATTGAATTTATGTAATTCTTCAAGTTGACTTTTGGCTTCATCATTATTATATGGATTGACATCGAAAACAGTTTCAAAATCTTGAATAGATTTGTCAAAACCTCTATGAACTAGATTAGGTTGATCACGACGAAAATGACTTTTTTCATGTTTTGTATCATGAGCTCATATAGTTTCACATGAACTTTTACTTTCTGGGTAATCACATCATTTGAAATAGTATAATGTCATGTCAAATTTGATTGAAAAACATATTTTAATTTCCAAGATCTTTGTCTATCATGCTCATTTGCCAATATTACATTTAGGAGATAATGAAATACAGTTTTATATCTTCTTTTTACAACAAGTTCAGGCTAATCACATTTTTAATTAATCAGAAATTTTTCTTGTTATAAGTAGAATTAATTAGAGATGTGCAGGGTTACCCTACCCTACCCTGCAGGGTAGGGTAGGGTTAGGGTATGAGAGTTACAGGGTAGGGTAGGGTTAGGGTAAGACAATTATAGGGTAAGGTAGGGTTAGGGTAACGAACTTTGCAATAGGGTATGCAAATCAACTAAACCCTACCCTACCCTACCCTACCCTACCCTGTATCGGAAAGTATAGTTAAAATTTAAAAAATGCAGGGTAGGGTAAGGTTAGAGTGAGGCGGGCGTAGGGTAGGATAGGATTAGGGTGAAGAAAAACTCCACAGGGGAGGGTCAGGGTATGAAAAAAGCTTACCCTGCACATCTCTAGAATCAATATCGTATTTATAGTTCGAAAATAGTTTTGGTAATACCGAAAACAAGGATCATCGATGATCACATTATAGAACGTATATATCATCGACAACGAGATCATCGAACATAGTCAAAACTATATTATCGAATTTCGGTCATCTCTGCTTCTATGATTTAGTATTCGACGAAGAGCACTTTGACCTTTTTGAAAGATATGGAATTAAAAACAGTTAATCCTTGTACGAGTCATCTAATTTCATTGTCCTTTAAGTTTGTATTAGAATTATTTTCGACGTTTGAATGTTGTTATAAATACTTACACACTGCCTGTTGATTGTGTTTCAAACTATGTCGATTCAAAATCATATTTATGGTGATAATGTCTATGTGTATACATACATTTTTATTTGTAAATGTTGATTTTAAATAAATAAAAATATTCGATGAAAAAGAAAATTCATTGTTTGAACTTGATTAAAGAACTATACGTGCAGCTTTATGATTTTCGATAATAGAAATTGTTTAAAACAATTTAGACTTTAAGATGTTAGAAAAATTTGATAGATTGCATCTTTGCATAAAAAGTAATAAATGATTAAATATTTGCTCTAGAGAATTATTTTATGATTGGAAATTGTATAATTAAAAATACACTAATTTAATAGCTATTTTGACTTTTCTTGCAGTTAAGTTTAGGTTAATATGAACAGAACTAGATTTATTTAATTTTATAAGTAATTTGTAAATAAATATAGACGAAGTATTTTCTTTGAAAAACAAATTCAATTTAAAGCCAAATAATGACTTCTTCGTTCGAATCGATAATTATTTTTGCTGGTGAATGATGATTCATCGATTGAACATGTTGATCGAGAAGCATTCTGAACACGTCACGAGCTGTTGGAGGACGAGTTAGAAAAAAAGAACAACGTCTATTTAAATGTAAAATGACTAATTTTGATGTAGGAAATAGGAGAGCATCGAGCCATGATAAAATCTGTTTAGCAACTAGTTCTGGTGGTGTGAGCATGAAACGACGAGAACCAAATGTAAGATATTGCAATTGTGGAAAAGCTTGATTAGTTGGCAAACGTTTGATTAGAGATGCAGGTGGATTATCCTGTCTTCTTAAACGAATATTTAACTGTTGAATAGAAGGCCAAGGTAAATGAGAATATGTAAGAAACGGCCGAAGATCATGCCACCATAGTGTCAGACACTGAAGCAAAGGAGCACATCGACGTATTTGATCAAGAATAAAAAAACGACTATAAATTGGTGTAACAGATCTATCAATGAAATTCTTAATTCTTATTAGATTCCAATCAAAATTGAGTTCAACATAACGCAAAGCTGGTAATATAATATGCCAGGAACATGGATTTGGAATTATTTCCTGAAAAATTCAAATAAGCGAGACTGTCATTAGAAAGAAATTCGCTCATTTCTTACTTTAATATCATAATATAACTCGAGTGAATTAACATATTGAAACTGAGTAAGAGTGCTATTGATCGACGAAGGAATACAATCAACTGTCCATTGAATATGATTGATCTTATTATTGATTGTTGATTGTCCTCCAAATGTATGATTATACACTGTTCGTTGACTATTTAACAGATATGGAACCGTGTAAAGTAAAATTCTTTCGTTAATTTCATATTCAACGGCACGATGATTTAAGTCAAACCAGTAAAGATCAATCTTTTCAAGCTTTGTTTCAACAGGTAGAAAAATCACAAACTGAAGATTACGTAGACAAACTAAAAAAGTTCTAATGCTGTTTTTCAATGTAATCAGTTCATTCTTATCTACATAAGAAAAACAAAGAGAAATTTAATCAACTGAAATAACATACACGTTCTCAATATTTTTACTATCTATACATACCCTTAGCACTACAATTTACTAAAATTAATGACACAACTTGACTCATTGATGTTAGATTTTGTATTAAAACGATAATATCACCGATGGATATTTGTTGTAAATGTAGTGTGCGTAAATATGTCATATCAGCTCGCTTTAAATTGAAATCTTTTGGACACAATGTAGAACAGGTTAAATCTTTATGCAGATCACAGCGACAAAGATGCGAAAAACATCGTAGCTGTTCCAATGTAATATGAAGATATTCTATACGCGGTAAAGTGTTACGTTGCATAAGTAGTAACAAATCAGATATTTTTTGTATTGAGAGACGTAGATGAACAGTGTTGGCAAATGTGAAATGTTCAAGTTCACTAGTGACATATTCGTTTAAATCTTTCGATAACCAAAGGCATGTATCATCTAAAACAAAAAAGATCAGTCATAAATAATGAATATTTCTTTACTTGGTAAGTTTGAAGATCGATTTTGCACAAGGGAAAAGGTCTTTTCTTCTTATATACAAATGGAACTTTAGTTCTGACATAAATCTTTCCTTTAATCACATTTATGGAAACTAAATTTTTCTTGAAACTATTTATCGAGTCTCTAAAACACTTCATTAACTTACGAAAAAAGAGTATCTGATCGATGCAAAACAGATTAAATATTCGAATAAGATAGATTTCTATTAAACTGAACTCTCAAAAATCTTCTATTAACAATCCGCGGAAACTACATCTTGCATAAAATATTTCTATCAGATATTTTCTCTGATAAGAAATTAAATTTTCAATTTATACTTTTGGATAAAAGTATATCTTTGAGGCAGAGTCCGACTCAAAAGATCATCATTAACAAATCGTATGGAGTTCAATCACTTCCTCTCCAATCCAATCGATTGATTTAAGTATTTCTATTTCAAATATCATAACGAGATTTGTGATATCTTACGTTCATTTTCTACATAAAATATGTGGTGAGTTGCACATCTCAATTAAAAAATGAATACTTACTTAAATTCTTTTAACCCTCAACATCAGACAACTAATGTCGATGTTTAGATATTCCAATTCACACTTTTTTAGAGCGTTTAAACTTGAAAAACTTCGAATATCATCAAGAGGTCTTGTTTTTTGTACGTAATAATCGATAAAGTTTGTGAAGTTAAATTTTCCAATTTCTAAAGTAATTTAACAACATCATCAATTCACGAAAGTAATTTGACGAATTTTGCATCAACTCAGATCTAATTCTAATCTATATTCTAATGAGAAAAATAGTCATTGATCACGTCATTTCTCGACATAACAGGATACGAAATCTTTGTTCTCAGTTAACTTGAAATATTTAGACAGAATCGTGATAAACTTGTTTTTCATTTCGACTTTTTATTTCTAGTTATTCGTTCAAGTAAGAGAATTCATCTCTTTCGATAATGTGATTAGCTTCAGTCTTACTTCATCATAAAAATGTTGCATATCGGTTTTAATTCAAAATAATTTTACTATTCTGATGAAATACTTTTTTGAAAAACATCTGACTACTAAATTAGATGAACAATGGCATTATCTTTCGCATTGGATACATTGTTAGTCTACTCATTCGCGTTCAATTCTACTAAATTACAAATATTAATTAGTTATAAACACATTCTCTATCTTGAAAATCTCATTTATCTTCCAATAGAATGGCTGTTTTCTATAATATTCTTCTTTGATTGAAGAAACACAGTATAAGATCGTTGGACTAAATTAATATTGATAGAAATACTCTAAACTCTTCCAAAAGATGTTTTAATACTACCTTTAATAAGGATCAGCTGCATTGTGTGTAAAGAGATGCCCCATTTAATGATTTGTTTTAATATCTGTCCATATTCTGAGAGCTTATCAAAATATAATATAATACAACGTAGTGTCGATGCATTTTGATGGATGAGCCGAATAATCTTGTATCGAACATATTCATTGACGAGATGAAAATAGACCGTACAATGACGAATACGTGGAAAAAAAGAAGCACCATTTTGAAGCCATCGACTGACTATTTCATTCGATAGAATTGGTTCATTGAATACAAGAGAAGTTATACGATCAGCATACGTCGAATGTTCGTTTTGAAAATAATTCAAACACTGACCATATGTTTTAAACGACGTCAAAGAGATTTCAAAAGCAACACGAGTCTGTGCCGCTTGAACTAACATTTGAATACGATTGTTAAGTTTCCACACGAGCCATGTGGAGCTCAGCTGTTCCCAAGTAAAATACACGAAAAGTTCTAACCATAGTTCATTTGGTAGATCTTCTAATGTCGTCGTAATCATATTGATAAATTCTGTTTATCTATACGTTAAAAATTCTAAAAATGCTCTATATATGTATGAACCGACAGACAATGCACGTCCGTACAGAACATGCAACAATATCTTTTTAATTGTATTCAGTCGGATAAATCGAATAGCTGGAAAAAAGAAGAAAGAAAAAATATAGAAATGAAATACGACGAATGATAAAACGTGTGATTGAATATAAGAAAAGGAAAAATGTCCGACTATTAAAATATGCCAATAAAAAATTTTATTGAATGAATAAGTTAATTTAAAGTTAAATCATCTTTTAGAGCTGATTTAAATGTTAATTCGTTTATCCAGTGTTCACTCATTATATACTTTTAGTAGTTAAAAAACTGTGTCGAATTTACATTGTTCTGTCATTTTGACTTGACTATTAATATGAAGCTCTATATCTGAGTATAATTCATTTGCAAAAGTTTTTTTTATGTAACTGTTACTGTTCAAAATGAGCTGGCAGCCAGCCAAAAAGACACAATTTTCAATAAACATCGAGCCATATTAAAATGTAAGAGCTACTGATAAAGTATCTACCGATTGAGAATAGAGTTAATTTAGTAAACGATAATTATAAACAGATAGATATTTAGGTAAAGTATGATATCGTTAAATAACGATACAGAAATAATATGATCTGACCGAGGATAAAATAGATTTGAAAAAGGCAATCCTATAACGATTAAACTGTAAAAGTAATAGTATAGCCATAAAAGTGATGAGATTTAACACGATGGAATTATAGTTATAGTTTTGAAAGTTTTCAAATAAATAAATTTAGAGTAGATTTATGAGAATATATTGGTTGATAATTCTAGTCATTAATTCTAGTCTTTCATCAATAGTTTTATTCGATGAAATAAACTAGAAAAATAGAAGTTCCTCATAAATAAGAAACAAAGATTAGATTTCAAGAAAAATAAATATTCGGCTGTTAGAAGATATAAAATCTTTTTCTGGAAGCGCTACTCTAAAAAATTTGCGCGATCCTATAATATAAAATCGTTTATCTTTCGATATTCAAAAATCAATTTGTCTTCCACATAATCAAATTGAACATCAAACGATAACAAATATTCTTCGACTTTTTTTTTAAAATAAATACCATTTTAAACAAGTTCCGCTCTTTTATTAACGATACAAACGTTTCTATAGCGCAAAGCATAGTTAGAAATTGAAAGCACTATTCCTTTTTATTTCCGTGTTAATACTATTAAAAGAGCCTAATTCATTCGTTCTCTTATATTAAACGTTACCTGGAAAAACCTTCTGGAAATTGTAAAGGTTATATTAGACTCGAATAAGTATGTGTTCACTTTTATATATTAATATAAATAAAATAATTCTCGATCAACTTTGCAAAGGTTAGTAGGAAGAATTAATCCGTTAAAACTAGACTAAGATTAATTGAAATATAATAAGTGATATTATAGGGAAGAAGATAACAATATTGGTTCTAATATTTCTCATTCTTAATATTTTCAACATATTCATATATGTTTAGTAGATAGTTAGAGATGTTTAAGTTAAAATGTTAAGTAGATAAGAAATAGAAATTCGATAGATAGGAATGACAATTTATCCTTATAGAATTATTTCTAATCTAATTATTAGAGTAAGATTATCCGAAGCAATCAATCTCTCTGATCAACGTTATCAAGCAAGAACATATTATTACAAACAAAATCAAATTGAAATTAGAAATTTTTATTAAGAATTCTAGCACTTATTCGTTACTGTTGACAACAATTAAAATAACCTATTGACACATAGATTAGAAGATAGTGCAGCAAATATATCAGAAGATAAACATAGATATTTTCTATCAATGGAAAGCAAATGAAATATCTATAAAAACAATTTTTTTAATTAAAAATCAATTCGGTCAAATTCTATATGAAATATTTGTTCAAGAAGAAAACATTTCTCTGTCCGATTCAAAGTAGAATTTAGGATGAAAATGATGATCCTCTTATAGAACGTACGATCTTGAAAATCAATCGATTTCCGTAATAATCTATACTCTCGTCAATTATTATCAATAAATTTTTTCTTTTTTAAATCATTAAATCGACTATTATATATTTAATTGATTGGACTTCTACAATTATTGACAAGAAGATATTTATCAAAAAGGTTTTATTTAAGAGTAAATATTCTCATCGAAATAAATTCGAGAGAATATATTCGAGGTCTATTTTACTCCACAATAGAAAAAGACTTCGAAGAAATAATTTTATTTTCGTCATGCTTTTCAGTGATATTTCACTTGATAGAAGTTAGACAAGTGAGAGAGGCCCCATTTTAGATGATTCAACTCGATTCATCGTTTATCTACTCTACAATAATGGAACATGATACATTCCATATCACTATTCAAACAAATCTTTCAAAACTTTTCTTATTGAGCATATTCATTTTTATAGAACAGATTAGAATTTTTCATCTATATATATATATATATCATTTTAGAATGATATTATATGTTAGTATTATTTAATTACCATCTTAAATTGAAATAATTCGAGTTCAATCAAAACTTTTTAATGATAAAAAAAAATAAAAGAAATGAAAGATCAGTTCTTATATAATAATAAAAAAAAAGAAAGAAAGTGAAAATAACGATAATAAATAACAAAGATGAATTTAATTTCAAAGTAGAATAAAATAATTTATTTGTTAAAATGAGAATTAGATGTTTATTAAGTGTAGATAACATCCTTATTTATCTCCGAGTGTTTGATATTATATACTGATTATCTTTATTAGAATACCGCGTCCGATCAGTATAGAGAGTAATTGATGAGATAACATTGTCATATTGGAACGTTTTATGCCGTCCCGAAAGGACTTTGTAAGTTCAAGAAAACGACCTTCATGATCTGTATCATTCGCATCTAATTGATTATCATTTTTATTCTCTACTGTTGTTATTGAAGTTGGTTTCTTAATTGGAAGTGGTGGATGTTCATCAGCCTCATCATAAGAAGTCATTTGATGAATAGCTTTTCGTTGTTTTGGTTTTTTAACATGAGAAATAATTGCTGGTGTTGGTGACCTATGACGATAAATCTTTTTTATTTGAATTATATTTTGTAAGATCAATGTCATTCATATCAAATTGATAATCAGTATCAGTTTCATATTGATGAGTAAAATTATAAATTTCATCAAGAATTTTAATAAGTCGTCCTTTAGCTTGTGAAGTTGATAGACCATAACGTATAGCATGATTTTGTTAATTGTTCAATATTGATTGATTTATAATCTGGTGTTAGGTGAAAATGGTGATGGTGGTCGATATTCAGACATTGCTTTCTTTTTTTTTTCTTTCATTTTGTTAATGATTTTTTTCGTTTTAGAATTATTGATTTGATTAGATATTTAGAATGATGATGGAAGAGTTAAAATATTCAGAATATTCTATTCAGTTGTTGTAGAAATGTTGTTTATTTGGAGATAAAATAATATGAAAGTGGAGGAGAACGGAGCTATATCAATATAAGATATAGAATAAACGTTTTAAACGTTCCTCATTTAATTCATTATCGAATAATGGTCATTGATTCCAATAATTATTAACTTCAAAAATTAAAAATTTATTAGTTTTTCTTTGTAATAAAAGAAAAAAACAAATTCTAAATAAGTTGGTTGATAATAAATTTGTTTTGTAGTTGTTAGTTGATCTAAACTATGATCTAATATAATAATTGATTGTTGTTTGATTGAGGTTGTATCGTTTAGAACTATTTTCTTTTTCATTACTATTATTTAAATCATTTGTTATATAAATTGGTGGTAGTCTAGAACGTTTCTGTTCGATCATAATCACCATTATCTTAATTAACATCTATCATCATTATCCTCAACAAAAAAAAGAAAAAGAAATTTATTAAATCTGATCTTTATTTTATCTTTTGTTTTTCTCTAAATTATCAAAATTTCTTTTTTTTTTTTTTCTTTGAAAAAAGTAGAAAAAAAAAAAGATTTGTCACTGGATGAAATCATTCCATTAGTTCATCATCATTATCATCAAATATTCGAGCTAATTTTGTCATCGGGATCTGAAAAAAGTCTAATAAAAATAAATAATTATATTTTTAAGGTGTCAATAATGCAAAATTCGAATGGATTTTTTTCTTCCGTCACTTATATATGCTTGTATAGAACTTGACGAGCTGGTCACGAATATATAGCTTTTATTTCTAATCGACCACCGTTTGACTGAAGAGAACCGTACAAAACTCGAATGATTGAAAATGTAGAAGTTAGAACTATCAACTCGCGCTTTCTTTTTTTTTCCAGACATTGTCAAATTTCGATTGTGTTATTTTTTCAAAATTTATCAAAACATTTTATTCTGATTTAGCGTCAAAAACTAAATAGAAAAAATGTTATTTGATTAGGTTTAGAGTTAATAAGGTTAAAAATGTCCCATCCAATATGGATAGCTTCGACATGTCTCATAGCATGTAGTTGTGAATATTCTTGTCAACCCATCTAGTTTTTCCGTAATAAGAGATAGAAGCGAGTGTCTTATCTCATGAAAATCATCAGCTCGTAAGCTGCAAAAGTACCTATTTAGTTTTTTCGGTTTCTGTTTTTGGAAATTTTTTCCCACTCGATGGTAACATTAGGCAAAAGAATGAAAAATGCGTTTGTATTTAGCGATTTTTATTACCATGGTCTAGTTAAAAATCAAAATAGTTAGCATATTCAAAATAAGCATTAAAACATGTATCGAATCATATATGTTTTAGTAAAGATTGTGTCCAATGAAAAAACACCTATGATCCCTTTGAGATCTGTGTGTTCTGAAATTTTGCCCCTAGTCTCCCAGGGGTCGGTTTTTCGCAGGAAAAAAAGATTTCTAAAATATATGTGATTCGATGCAGTTTTTCACACTTATTCTGAATAGGCTATCCATTTTGATTTTTAACTGAATCATGGTAATAATAACTGATAAATACGAGCACATTTTTTATTCTTTTGTCTAATATTATCACCAAATGGAAAGGAACTCAATCTTGTTAGAAAAAAAAAACTAAATAGGTTTACAAGAATACCTGTACATACATGCTATGTAGTATGTTGGAGGTATCTATATTGGACAACGATTTTTTTAAAAACTTTATTAAAAAAAATAACATAATCGAAATTTGAGAATTTCTGTAAAAAAGAAAAGCGTGAGTTCATAGCTAGCAATGCTGCATTTTTCGTCATTCGACTTTTGTACGGTTCTTTCCCGGCAAATAGTAATCGAATAAAAATAAAAAGAATATATTCGTGGTCAGCTCGTCAAACTTTATCCAACTAGAGATAAGTGAGCGAAAGAAAAATTCATTCAAATTTTATCATTATTGTCACTCGTTACTTGATCATAATGAGGATCAGTTGTTGTTATATTCAACCAATTGACATTACCAAAATTTGTTTGAGATATAACTTGAACGGAAACTTAAAGAAAAGTTATATGAAGTTTCTGAAGGTGTTATTGTAATTAGACGTTGACATAGATTTGATAAACGTATGTTAAGATAGTGTTTAGTTTCTATTCGATAGAGACATTCGATAATGGTACTCTTAATAAACTCAATTGAGAATATAGAATTCATTCATAGATAAAACGTTACAAAAAAAAATATTTACTTTATTGTTTTGGTTTTTTTTCGATGCAGCTTGAAGGATATCGAAAGCATAAGGAGATTCTCAAGCAGTTTTAATTGAAGTTGAATGTGCGATTACCTTTTATAAAAATAAATAACAATTTAAAAAAATTTTTTTTTCTTTTCGATTAAGAAGTTTTACTAATTGTTGTTGTTCATCATCTTTAGTTGTTGGGTATTGTCGATTGTTAATAATTCAATTGTGTTAATATTGGTTCCTATTTGTTTCGTTTATTGTAGTAATTGATTGTTGATTCATTATTATTATTTGTTGTAGTTTTAGCAGCGAAATTAACAACATACTTTAATTGAACACTATTTTGATTGGAACATTTGTTTAATATGTGATAAATAAGTATATTTTACATGAAATGACATTCCACAACATTTCAAATTTGATAATGTTGTTGGTTTGTCGAATAGTAGTAGATGAAGGTTTTGTATAAGATAATAAACGTTTTCTAATGTTTTGCTTCAATCGTTAATTAGAATAGGTAAATAGATATTTAAATTTACAGTCAATCATTAGGATGTAATAGCAGTTAATGGATTTCAGAAAAGCTCGGTAGAATATCATACTCAACAATCCGATTTTTTCGTCTTCAAGACACATGTGTAACTGAATTTGAAATTAAACAGATTGGATATATGCGGCAATAGAATCATTTCATGTATTGGTTATGAGAAAAACTTCACAAATCTATTATGACAATAAAGTCAAGACTGTGTGCATAATATAGGTCGTAATGATCTCTCACCACTCTAAAAAGAGTTTGTACATCTAGCTTATTTCTATTTATGTCTACGATCTTCCTCAGTATAACTTTGCACAGTGTTAAGCCTTCATGAAACTAGTCTATTGTAAAGATTTCAAATTTTTTTTTTATTGTTCCTATCGAAAAATATGAAAATGAAATAATTATTATTTGGTGATTATCGTTAAAAGTAATATTTTTTCTTAAACTCGTTTATAAGAATAGAATAAACTTGAAAATATAAAATTTGTCATAATAGACTAGTCTCATTGACGATTATAGCGAGAGTTCCTTAGGATCTATATGATAGGCATAGTCTCAAATCGACAACATTCTCTCTTGTTTGTCTTCTTCAAACGATGAAACCGCTCTCAGTAATTCGTGACTTTTGAGCTCCTATTTCTAGCAAAAGGGTTTCGAACCTCAAGACATCAAATATTTATATAAGACTTGATCGATTATTGATAGAGGAAGCTAGTTTTATAAAAAAAATAATTGATAAATTTTTGAGCTAAGATTGCACCAGAAAATAGAACTAGATCATATTAGAATACGGTAAAAGTTTTAGTAAAAATAAATCTATCGTTTATCGATAGAATAACGTTTAGGAAAAATTTCCGTATTATGTCGTTTACTATGAAACGTGGCTACTTTTTGCAAATTCAATATCTTAACAAAGACATTTTTCTTCTGACACTTTCATCATATTTGAATAAGGTCTAGTTATATCTTCTTAGAAAATCTCATTGATTAAAAACGTCCATAACTCAAGATTGGTAGGCCATGAGCCGAACTTATTGCACACTTATTTTAGTTTCAAGATTCCGAACTCATGGTAGAAATGGGAATTCAATGCGATGAATCAATTCGAGTGGTTCCTTCATAACTAAAAATTTTTAGTAAATGAAAATCAAGTCTTTTCATGATAATCTAGGAATTATATGGAACAATTCGTCTATGACATAGATTAATAAATTGAGGTTGGTTGAATAGATCGATAAAGATGTTGTTGACGTTGATCAATAGGATTTAACGTTGGATAAACACTTGATTACAAATAGGATATGTTATAGAATTATTTTCGATTTCTATTATAATTGATTCAAGACATTATTTAATCGCATCATTTTTTTTCTTACAAAACGAATGTTATTTTTGGTTGATGAAGAAGTTTAGGACATTTTCTCATCGTTATAAAATCATCATCATTTATTTCAATAGAAATTTTCTTTTTTGGATAAATAACTTTTCTTATTGGATTCTGGATATTTTCTTTTGATCAACTAAATAAAATAGATTGGATTTAAAAAAACAAACAAACAAACTTTAACAAAATCACAAACATTGTTCGTTTTTTTTATGTAAATGTTGTCTAGAAGATAATTATTTCGTTTATTATATTAATCTCTATTTATTCAAATAAATGTTTGTTGTTGTTGTTCAAGAACATTTCGTTGTCGTTTATTTAAAATTGATCTTACAATATGATTAACATGTTCATTTGATATTTTTCTTGTTGAATATCTAAACATATCTTTTTTGTTTTAACAAAGACCTTCGTTGTTGACGACGTTTACTACGTCATTTTTAATATCGTTCGTAATTTTCAACTTGAATTTGTTCGTGAATTGGTTGTTTTTGAAATAAATCAATCGCTTTTTCTAATTCGAATTAAACAAAAAAAAAAAAA